CGCTCCTCTGAACGGTGACGATGGGCCTCGTCACTAAATTGGCGTGTTGGGCTTCGGATTGAGAGGAAAGGAATGACGGACGCACACAATAATCACTCCCGATAACCGTTAACAATATTTATTCCTCTACGCTTAACAATAAAAGAGCGACGACACGAGTTCACGCGTCGTCTTCGACAACCGCGTACCTGCGTTCATGTGGATAATCGCACGGGGGCACGTTACAATAATTTGAGAGGATTACAAAGGAGGGACTCGTTTTGTTCGTCAATTTCGCCGTGCTCGCAGAAGATCGCGAACACTTCATCACCGACGCGTCGCGCATTCGCGAATAGAAAGAAAGAGAGAGAGAGAGAGAGACGACCTAACCTGGTGAAGGCTGCTAGTGCTGCTGGTAGGAACTGTTGCTGAAGCTGCTGGTAGGAAATGCTGCTAATGCTGCAGTTAGCAGGAAATATTGCAGAAACTGCTGGCAGGCTGGTGGCAGGCTCAAATTGATTCCACGATGCTCCAAGGGTCGTTGGAAATCCTCTCCATGCTGTACTCTGCTCGGCGTCGTCTAATTTCTTTGTCTTGACATGACTATTCGGTTTTATCTCATGTGCGCATGCTCGGCCGTCAAATTGATCCGTCTATCTTAAGATCTCCGCTCGAACTCTTTCCCCAACCGTTCGTGCGCCGGCTCAGACAACGTCAGCGGCTTCGCTCTCGCGAGCGGATCGCCGCGGGTCACTCGCAACGCGTCAATATCTCTCTCTTCTTCTTGCCGCAGCTGCTCTTACTCCCATTTGGCTCCCAATGACGATGCCCTGCTCAGGTATTGACCCCGAAATAAAGCGGTGCGAGCATCGGTATCGGTTCGTAACTTTCAAACACTCGCCAGGGCAACAGCGAAGGAACGAAGCTGCGAGAGAGAGAGAGAGAGAGAGAGAGAGAGAGAGAGAGAGAGAGAGAGAGAGAGAGAGAGAGCGAGCCAGACAGGGCCGGCTATTCTAGCCTAAGCCCCGTCACATTTATTTACAGCTAAAAGTAACTTAGTCCAATACTTGTTATTGAGCTTTGATACTTTAGAATTCTATAATTCATTAAAATCATGATGTATAGATTCTGTGGCTTGCTCTACAAAAAATCCTAGACCCATTTAATGCTTCGTACAAAATTATGCAACGTGATGAAAAACTAGACGTACTTTAGGTGTTACAAAGATTTCTAAAAGTTCAAAACTCTTTTGAAATTCTTGATTGTGAGATTCGTAAGATGGTTAAAACTTAAATGAAAAACAATCTTAAATAATAATTTGAAATTTTCTGAAGACACCACGCAATCCATGCACCCAGATAGACCGCCAATGTCATTTTCACATATGTGTTGGAGTTTGTCAGAATTATTCGACAGAGCTTTACATGTGTCCCCTTCAAATGAAGAGCAGCCACCATTACTATAGCTTTTTTCGATATAGCATTGTTGAGCCCATTTTTTCGCGATGTCAGAATACTTTTTTGTATATTAATATGCAATGTGTTAACAATCTCTAGTAGTAGGTGTAATTTCGGAGGCGCAAGAATAGTCAAATGTAATTGCTCGTTATTTATTCAATAAAACAAAGGTGGACGTATATAATTTTTAAAGTTTTTCATTTTTTTCTTTACGCCTTCACTTTCACATCAAGCGTTGTAGTTCGAAAGATAGCTTGATGTAGTCTTTAAAGTGTCACAATTGCTTAAGTTGTCTTTTGTGATTGAATATTGGAAGCTTTCAAACTGTCATGACTATTCCAGGATATTTATTCAATAACTCATTTATCTTTAATTTTTCCTACAAAATCTTCACATTATAGTAATATAAATAAATAATCTAAATAAATTTTCTTGTGTATCTGGCGCAAAAGTAATAATGAATATTTTCTTCACCCCGGTATCCTTCTATTTTACAGAATTTTTTGAATTTTTTTCATCGATCGCAGTAATAAAATAAATTCTAAGGAACTCCCGCCACTATCAATACCAATATTTAAATGAAAATAAAAAATGTTACGACTTTCCATTATTTTTTTCACGCATTGCATTAAATTATTGTAGACAACAGCAAAAAAAATATATCCAAGTCGTGAGATTTTTTAACTATTGCTTCACGAGTATACAGTTCTATAATATAATATTTCGAGAGCATGTTTTCTGACGTATGAGTGATGAAAACTTATGGAGCTGCCGGTCTGATAAATTCGCATTAATTTAAAAATCAATTAAATCATTCAATGATATTTTATTAAATTCTTTTTGTTTTAGATTAATAATAATATTTAGTGGCATATCATGTTATTGTGATATGGATACTTTAAAATTCACAGTTCTAGATTTAACTGCTAATTTATCATTAACTATTTTTCTTTTTAATAATTTGGAAGTCAAATGCTCAAATAGCTTTGGCTTTTCAATTCTTCCATTAATATTTTCTAGTAAGGAAGTTGAATTGCACTTATGTCTAACACCGTTTAGTATCACCGTAAAACACTTCAAACAACTTCTTTTGTTCTCTAACAGCTTTGACGATGTATTTTTTTCACTATTAAATTTCTTGGTATATACTTGTCTAGATCTGATTTAGAATGAGAAGCCAGTGGCTGAGCGAGTAGCGAATCAGTCAGTGGAAGACATCAATGGCAAAGCGATAGTGCGAGGAACGAGTACAGCAGAGGTCATGAGAAGGAGAGCTGAGTACGAGGAGCAAAAAGTCCAGGAGGAAGCTGCTTAACGGAAAGACGACGTCGCACCTTCAAGGAGAGGTGTCCTATCGCTTCTCGCTCATCAAAAAGTTGCAGCAGAACAAAGTTTAAGTTCTCTTCCAGAGTTTCTCTCTCTCTCTCTCTCTCTCTCTCTCTCTCTCTCTCTCAGACGAGGCGATAGTCCTCGTTTGTTACGGGTGCCATGATAGTTAGGCGTTCACTCGCCAACTATTGCGATGGTCCTTTGTGCCGGTGTTCGCGCCGTTGCCTCGGCGACATCACACCAGGCAACGAACTGACTGATTATTATCGAACTTCTTTGTACAGTAGGTTAAGTTATTGTGGAGAATATAGGATAAGTCTAGAAATTAATGAATCTGTACTATTTATTTTTCCTTTCTCGTACTCTAATCCTCTCCTAATTGCTAAGAGCGTCATTACCTCTCTTCTCCACCCTGAATAATTGGTAACGAGCCGTATTATCTCGTTACATATTCAAAAAATATCTATTAATAATAATCAAAAGAAATTTTGAGGCCACATTATCTTTTTATTCATGATTGTTTTCAGAGCACCGGGAATAATGTAATTTAAGCTTTATATATTTAATAAATTTCTTAATGTCTATTAAAATTGAAGCTTTTTAGATATTAACATTAAATTCTATGTAGGAAATATTATTTTCTGACCAACTTTGAGGTAAATATCATAATATGTCCATGATGAGGTACGGGAGAGTGAGTATTAGTCGTGATTGTTAGATTCTAGTCGGACTTATATTTTATTTCAAGTTTGAAGAAAACAAATGATAACTTAAATTAAGCGCTATGATGAACTTAAGCTAAGATACTAAAATAATTCAAACGAACAAATATAATAAATTAACCTAAGATAATACATTTAAGCGCGAGAAATGTATAAAATTTTCTAATTGTTATTAAGTTAAAATATCGTCGACAAAATTACGTAAACAATGGCGAACAGAAAAATTCAGCGTGCGCGTTATAAATTACAATCAAACTTGCCTTCTTGATAGCTAAAAAAGTTTTGACCTCTTTTCTTGTGCAGTGGAGACGAGATACCGAATTTTTCTTGCCCTTACTCATAATATCCCACTCCAGATCTAAGAGCCGTGGGCGTCACTTTCCTCCGCGCTGGACCAATTAACAAAACACTTTTTTGTTCCGTACTCGCTCTGTTTACCGATTCGGTTCCGGTGAGGTCTTTCTAGCCCCTCGCCCCGCAGTTTTGATAGTAGTGAAACATAATTGCTTTCTACTTTTTTCATTGTCATTAAATCGAGAACGCTATATGTTAATACTCGGAAACACCTAATATGCCTGTCATGACTATGCGCATGAGGCGAGCTTAAAGTACGGAACCGGCTATGCGAATTTTTAGTCGCATTTGTCCAAGCGTGGGGTAGACTCAGGTAATGGCGAAAAACGGACGTACTCCCTTCACGTTATGCAATATATCTTACTAAATTTTATAATTATCTACGCAAGCTGGTTCACTCTATTTGCCGCATTACATTTTATTTTTTCCTTCCGTTCATTGCGTATTTTAAATTTTTATTTATTAAAGTCTACATTTCTCAACGTTCGCATTCCATACATGTTTATTCTTAATCCTAGCTTATATTTAAGTTATCAATTTCATACATGAAGCCGAGCGCACAGTCGCCGGTTTCATAAACGTTACATGATCTCGTAACCAAACATCTGGACGCGGTTGATTGTTCCGCTTATTTTACCTCGCAATCGAAGGCGCCCGCTCATAAACTAGCGTCACCGGAAGATTTTAGCTGTCGGCATATGTGCCAATTTGAAACCGATATAAAAATACATTAAATATCTGAGTCAGAGAGACGAGTCGAAACACGCAAGTTCGGGAATTATTTTAATGCGTGAGACAAATTAAAAACGGTGTGTAAACTTAATATCATCCTGAACAGTCTAAAATTAATAAAATAACAGAGTTAAATATGACTAGACTCAAAATTAGTTTGTTTCTCTACATACGTATTCAATGGCGACCTAATATATCACAATGTCTTTCGAATTAGCATTTAAATTGACTTAGAAAATCAAAAGAGAAAATAGAGAGGTATAAAGGAGCAACTAGGAGGCAAAAGGACTAAGTAGACGATGGGCACTATTGGGCAAAAAATATCTACATCAAAATATCGTAAAAAGGAAAAAAAAGAACCTACAAAAAGGCCAATCACAATAAGCTTTGATGTACATGATGTAAACAGACAAAATTGTCAACTAACCTTTTCTGAGCTGTAAGAGTCACTTTGTAGCCGTATTAGAGAAGATGCCATTTTACTGCTTTCTTCAATTGATGATTCACATGTATTGAGATTCTTTTGGGACTGGAAAAATTATGAAACCATTGGTTCTCAATATACTTCTTAAATTATTATAAATATACAAATTTTATACAAAAATAATACATTATTTATGTAAAAAAGTATTTATTGATTTGTATTCATAGTTCTAAAATTTAATTATGGTAACCGAAACAGGGATTGACAAGGCACGGCTTTGCAAGTCAAAATTATTTGGCATAGAAAGTAACATTGAATAAATGTAGAAAACTTTTTTTTTTCAAATTAAATATTATCTAATTATAAAATGGCAAAAATTAAGAGCAAAAATCAAATTGTGCATAAAGAAGTGTAAAAATAACATTATATTTATCTATTTTTTTTCTTAGAAAATATCCACACAAAACAATACGCTGATCAATAGTTAGTTATAAAAATATATGGATGATGCATTTTAATTATTATTAGTTTAAACAATATATGAAAGAAATAACTAATTTTTTACAATTACTGTGTACATATTTTAATATACTACGGATACACAGAAGACTAGTAAGATATGAACATTAATAAATTTAACTCATAGAATATTTCTTATTTATATTACGTAAGTTAATCGGTGTTCTTCACATAAAATATTCACAAATTTACAAAACTATTTTTTAGTATTTCATTAAATTATAGTAGTAATATCTAATCTATTAAAGGTTACTGAATTTTTAAATCGGTTTAGTGTGGCCTTTCTATTAAATTATACTAGCTTTGATATGGAAGAATTCTAGTAAATGCTGTAATTAGAAGAATCAGTTTCTGATACCGGAAAATAGTAAACAATAATGAAACTTGAATTTGAAATGTGAATATTTTGAATTACACTTTTTTTAAATGATTATTAAATTATTAAATTTCAAATTAAACAGAAAAATATTTTAGCGAATGGTTTAGATGTTACTCATTATCTAGCCTTACGACAAAAATAATTTACTTCGCTATTCTGAGAAAATCGTTCTATGATGTATCACTCAAACAAATCGATGTGTTAGCAACTATTTTTGGTTATAACCAAGTTACTGATACGAAAGCCGTTAGTTGATAATACTATTTCTGGCGATCATAGCGGAATATAAGTTTAATTTAGTGTCATGGAAAGGTGTCCGTGAGAAGATAGTGTAGTGCCAACAACAAACGTTAGATGTAATGAAAAGAAAGTGGAAGGTGAATTTTGAAGGAAATGGTTCAAGTCGGATCTAATAGAAAGTAGTAGTAAGTAAACAAATATTTTTTTACGAAAAATGTGATAGATTTAATGCAATATAAAATAAGCTCTTAATACCATTAGACTAAATTAACGTTTTTAAGTAATTTAATTATAATTTTTACATAGATAATTAAAAATATCTGGAGAATCTCGAAATGTTCAGCGGTGGGACTACACAGTCACTATGATAAGGTTGGCAATAGGACATTGCAACGAGTGTGGATAAGCTGTCAATGACGCATGAGGGAAGCGTTTATGAGTACAAGCGGTGTGAGTACAATTGTTATTATAACTTATTACACTCGAGCTGCATATACTATTTTTTATCGTGAGTGTGTGATTTGCTTGAGCAACTACACGTTTTGGGGCGATTGATGGGGGAGTTAGAGCGGAGGAAGGAACCCCCTACAGTAAAAAAATAAGATCAGTCTATGTTATAAAAAAGTAAATCTAACCTAAAAATGAATAAATTATTCAATTATTTTATTATTTTATATTAACTACTTATTATACGATATTAGCTATACACACTAATGCGTTACGATATGGATCCTATACCATGCACAAATAATAAAAATTGCAACGGTAATCGATTTGATTAATCGATCCGTTCGCGATTCGCACACTCGCGATGTTAGTTCGAATGACTACGAGAGAGAGGGGGCGCGTGAGGGTTTAAATATTCAGTTAAGCCTCAGCTGCTTTTGAGTAAGTATCGCCGTGATATGGTTTTGCATCGTGTTTCGCCGTTATTTTGTAAATCGAAAGTTTCCTGGATTTTTGGCGTGCGTGAGTGATAGCAGCATCAAAGCAGCAGCATCAGAGCAGCAGCATCAGAGCAGCAGCATCTAAAGTAGGAGCAACAAAAGCAGCTGTTTAATCTATACGATTAATTAGTTGCAATAAAGAGAGAGAGGCAAGGGTAGGTTAATTTGAAACAGGTGGGGGTGTGAGGTTGTAAATAAAAGTTATTTAATAACAGAAAGATACAGAGATGAACTTATAACTACAAAGAAAATCAACTATCTGCGCTGTTACTTACAGATTGCTCGCATAGCTTTTAAACCACTAACCGATACCTTATATGAATAGCCATTCACTAAACAACGCTGACCGATCGATGCCGCATGCACGACTCGTGCGAAAAGGAAGACGTCTCCTGGAGGAGCGTAGTGCCAACATCTTGGACACGGGCACGGTCCGCACTACGCAACTCCTAGTGTTCGAGGTGGGCCGGGTGCCGCTGATCGGGCTGCTCAGGGTTCGGAAACGTCTCAGAGAGTACCGCACGTACTCTCAGATAGGCCGATGGTCGCCGTAGCCCTTTTGAAGCGGTCTCAGGCGAAGGGAGGAACGACACACACACATGTACCAGTTGCTCGATGCAACTCAATAATAATACACTTATAACTAAGGCGCGCGGAATACAGCACCTGAACAGAACCATGAAAACGCACAACAATAGTAGTTCACTACGCGCAATGATCTACACTCGATGCAGAGTGAGTGTAGAGAGGTCTCCTCATCAAGCCGTCAACCCATAGAGCCGAAAAAACTCGCACGATATGGCCTCATCAGGGCCAGCCAATCAGGGAGACTCAAACAAAGAGAGAAACAAAACGCTCCTCCTTATCTTGGCATTGAGAGTGGGGCTGAACAGCAACCGGGGAATTCTACTGTGCGTTAGCGTGGCCATCGATTGCCGGCGTGCAATCGGACACCCGAGTGTGACCGCGCTCAACACGTGAGCCACAGACCACGCACATACACTCACAAAAAAAATTGAACGTCCGCTCCCGCGTTGTTAGGAGCGCAGAATGTCGCGAACAGCAGCAGATATTTTTGAGAGAGGCAGCGCAGTTAATCCATGGAGCACCGTTGATTTTCTTCAACAATTATGGCTGATCATCATAATTGCACCGCAGGATAGGTGCACCTCCCTTTATTATTGCGCGACAAAATACTTTCGAAAATATTTTGTTTATAGCGAGCGTAATTTTTTGTATTCACGCCGAGCGTTAGACTTCGCGGCAGTTTTCGAATTCTCTCTCTCTCTCTCTCTTTCTCTCTTTCTCTCTTTCTCAAAAAGGCACTGTAAGTAACCAATAGATTCGTGAGGCTTTACTGTTGACGTTTCTGCCCGGTAGAGGTCGCTCGAACACTATAGCGCGAAGATATAAACGTAGGCCCGATACTTTCCGGACAGACCTCGTAAGTTTATCCGCGCTCACGTATACACTTCAATAAAAACTCATCCCATCATACATATACTAATAGTTGTAATACACCATTCTAAGAATATTTTTAGATATGATTAGCGGATGGCGTAGATATCTACATTTTGAAGGCGGAAATAGAGAGCATAAAGAAAAAGTTTTTAACAAATAGCCATCGGATGGTAAAGAAACTAACGAACTCGTTAATAAGACAAGAATCGATGAAGATGACGCCTACTGGAAAAGACAAATCTCAACCAATTCCAAGGTTTATTTTCGAGGGAAAACTTAAAAATCTAAACATTTTATAATATTTTAGAATTTGTTAACAACGCAATGGACGAGGACTAAAAAATAGCACGAGAAACGTACCGATACATGCTCAGGAAAATATGCAATAATTTGCATCTTCGATAAAGTTAAGAAATGTTTAATATGTTTTTTTTTCTGTATGTTTAATAAGTTAATTTTGTAATATAGTTAATAAACAAAAGTTTAAAATTTGAAGTGTTTGTCTCCAAAAACTCAATAATCTGAACATCCTAATTAAGAATTCCCAAAAATCTTCAGAAAAGTTTTAAATTTTTAACCTACTAAACCGAGAACCTAATAATACGTTTTATATTTTTCTTTTTATGTTTGTTGAGACTTCTTCAAGGTTTTTCGTACAGACATTCGTATGGACTTTTCGTCGTAGAAAAAGACCTTGAAAAAGTCCTCGAAAAGATGCTTGGAAAAGTCCTCAAAAAAGTCTTCGCCTTTTTCGAATACTTTTATTAGAACTTTTTATTATGTTTTCCGTATAATTTTCGATTTTTTGTGTTTTTTTTTCTGCAATTTCAGTGGACTCTTCAAATAACATATTAATAATTTTTCATTTCGTTTTCAAAAGTATGAAAGTATTTGTAGTTTAAAATTTTATATATTTAATTTTTAAGTTTAATTAATTTTTGAAACATAATTCAAGAACAAATAAATTTTGTTTTAAAAAATAATTAAAATAAAGTAGTTATTTATAATATAAACAGTGAACATTCGACAAATGATTCTATTAAACTATTGACAAACTACCGACTTCTTTTTTTCATGTTAAATACAATTAGCCAATAATAAATATACAGTGTCCCATTTTAAAGGAACCATCCCGAAATTTTTTACGGTTGGCGTTCTACGAAAAAATTGTTCAGACAAAAGTTGTTTGGGGCATTGAGGAACATCTTTCCCAGAATCGGATTTGATCTGTAACGGGGATTTAGTCCACTACAATATTTAATAACCGAGAGGTGCGTAATAGATGATGGAGCGAGCTCGTGCAACGGATCTGCACGACCGGCCCAGTAGCACAGACTGCCGATGGATTCGCCGGGTGGCAACGGCCCGCGGAGAGCGTCGTAGGTCGCGTAGCTGAAATCGCGAAGGTGTAGGAGACGAAAGGAATGATAGAAGGCGCAGAGTGAAAGAGGCGATAGGTGTAATAGAAATATATATTCTACGTGTATTTGTACAGGGCGGTGCAGAGAGAGAAGCAAAGCGGATAATGCGAGAGAGACGTAAAGAACGAGTGGTACTTA